TTAACAAATATCTACCTACTCGAAAAAGGCGTTCTTTTCTTCCTTTCCTTTAGATAGTGCTATCCTACTATTAGTGAGTAGGTAGCCCTATTGTTGGATGTTGAGGGACTATTGTAAGAGACATTCATGATCATTGAAGGCAACATGTAAAGATACCTTAGCAGTTCGAAGGGACTGTCATCATATATTCTGAGGCAACATCGAGGGATAAGATCATTTCTCGTAGGCAACTCGAGGGACAATAAAGGACTATGATCTTTTATGATGACTTTGAATTGAGGATCTTTGCTAAGAGTATCCCTATGTTCGAGGGACATGACCATTTCCGAAGGCAACCAAAGTGGGAAATATCCTAGTGGTGCAAGTGTGCAATAATGTTTTTTTTCCAGATATTTTTATCTTGATGTTAGTGATCTAAGATTGATTGATTATTTCTTGCCATACACGCCTAACTTACTAGCAGTTTATATATAGGCATATAATATAGTGCGGAAAGTAAATTATAGAAAATAAAAACTCCCAAGCTATTACATGGCCTTGAGGAAATTACAGTTATATAGGACTGAAAATGTAGAGTGCGGAAATTAAAAAATCCTAATTAAGGCTATTACAATCCGGGAACAGTTACATAATAAAAAAGAATAATAGTACGAAAATAATAACGTGTAAAAATTGAGATGGGAATAAGTTCAAAACCCTAAAAATATAATTGTTTAATGAAAATGTTTTTTTTGGTATTTTATGGGGAAAAAATTGAGATTTAATCTAATTTCTAACTAATTTTAAATTAAAGAAAACAAGTTAAAATTTAATTAAAGACCAATGTAAAATTTAATTTTTAATTTCTATCTTATGCATTGGCTCATATCTGTTTTGTATCGACACATGCACTTATGTATCGATACATATCATTCCTTGCTCTTGGAAATCAAAATCCACTCAGTATGAGTCGATACATAAAGATTTGCGTCAGCTCATAACCTATTTTGCATCGACACATGCACTTATGCATCGATACATATCATTTCTTTGCTCTTGGAAATCAAAAGCAACTCAGTATGAGTCGACACATAATGGTTTTTATCGACTCATTTTTGTTTTATATCGACTCATTCGTATTTTATATCGACTCATAACCTTTTTTGTACCTAATACGTGTCGACACATAGAGTTATGCATCAACTCATACTGCTGTTTTTTACTTCCAACATTTTTCTGCTTGAAACTGAAATTTGTGTTTTGATTTAGAGTTGTTGTATTGTATTGGAGAGTCAAGTGGCAGTTTTTGAGTTTGGAGAATGGTGATAGTGATGTTACAAAAGTTACTCTCGTGTTTGAATAACTTCTATATGATGTATATGAAGTATTTGGATGGTTTGTTTGGACAAAACTTGCAAGGTGGGAGAGGTTCAAAGATTTGGACTTCAAAGCTCAAGAGTGGAGGTTTTGTGAATAATTATGGTTTTTTGAGAGTATTAGGGGTTTTAAGTGCTAGTTTCTTTTTCTCTTTTTTCTAGCTTCTTTCTCTTGCAAATTCTCATTCTATTTATAAGCAAGAGGTTTGGGAACAAGAGCTGATTAGGTTTGCAAGACAACATGTTATGGTTTGGTTGAGATGCAAATATCAAACTATGTCAATTCCCCATAGTCCCAAGATGAAGTACCAAAGTTGCTGGTATAGAGGGACTACTTTCCATGATTTATAGTGGAGTAAAATTAGAAGTAAAGAAGGTATGGGCTCAATACAAATTTTGTACCAAAAAGCTTACTTTTCAAGAATAGCCATGGTAACTTTTTACCTTAAATGGCAAGTTATTTGGATAATGGCTTGTATCTCTTGGGTAATGGTTCAAACTTTTGTGTAAACATTAAATTATGGAGAGATTTACAAGCAAGAAGGCCTGCAACATAATATTATGCAGCATATCATGTAGATTGGATCATGTGTTCTTCACCAAAAAGACTTGTAATTCAAGGATGGATGCCCAACTTCATGCCCTTGAATCTCCTAGATCAAGTATGATAAATTCATGCTCTCAGATGTTTTGGAAAGCTTGAAACATCCTCTAAAATGTTCATGTTTTCCATTTTGGATAAATCAAATTGAAACTTGATGAAAATTGTCCAAGAAGTTGAGATGAAAACTGACCAAAACCTGTTGAAAATTTCTCTAAGTGTTTTATGAAAAATGTCATGACTTCATGGACTTATATCTTCAAATCTAAGCATTTTTTGGACATCAATCCTCTAATACAAAGTTGTAGAATTCATAAATATCTACAACTTTCATGTTGAAAATTTCCTTTGAATCATTTTACATCATGGTGAAAAATTGGTATGAAGTTATGAAATAAACATGTATAAAAACACTTAGAAAAATTTCCAAATCTTGAAAAATTTGACTTTGCAAATTGAATTTTGACCTTCTTGACTTCTTGATGATCAAGCTTGATATTATTGAATGTCTTGATGAATTTATATCTTTGAAACTAAATATTGACCAAAAAGTCAAAGTTTGACTTTTTGTGTATCAGTTGACTTTTTCATCAGTTGACCAAATTTCATCTACCAATCCAATGATCATGAGAAATATTTTGAGTCATGAAATTAGTTCAACATGTTGTATTTGAATCCTTGAGATTATACTTTAATCCATTAGATCATGTATTAGGTCAAACAATCCTTGATCAGTCAAATACAGTCAAAACCCTAATTTTAACTATTTTGCCCTTTTGGTGATTTGAACAACTTTCCTGGGTAATTGTGATCCAAACTTGATCAATTGATACACATGACTTTAAAATGTTGATATTGGTCCAAAATCTTGAAGTTTGACTGTAGGTTGACCACAATTGACTTTTTACCCAATATAGTTGATTTTATGTCATCTGATCAATTGACTGAGCAAACTTGAACCGCAAGACTTGAAACTTGACATGAGCAATCTTGAAAATCCATAATGATCCATGAAAGTCATACGAGGCATTAAAATCCCAATTGTCCTTGTGAAAACTCAAACCCTAATTTGAGACATCAGTGTTGAGGAGATGTCTTGACCTAGTCAATCCTTGTGCAAGTTTGAGCTATTGGAGATCTTGTGGGAAATGTCTTGAGAAATGAGAGGGAACATTTTAAGATACAACAGCTACTCGTGCCTGTAAAACTTATCCCGTCTCTTTCCACTTTATCATCATCAATGTTTACGTTCTCGATACGATGGAATGGTTGGAGAAACACTTCAAATCGTTTCCATCGACTCGATTCCCTCAATCATCATCGTCTTTCATCGAGGAATCAACAGAATGAGCAGAGCTTTTATTACGTTGGTTCATGATAATACGCAATAGACCATGGGAGTCTGATAATTTTAATTCTAAAAATTTCCCTGTCAATCTTTACGCTAAAAATATCATTCAGCACCACTGCACGAGATGTCCTTACCATTATTCTAGCTATGTCCATGTTCTCAGCCTTCAATGTGCTATCATCGGAACAAATGTATTTCCCCACCATATTCGCCTCAAACATGAAGAAATCAATGTTCCAAGCATGACATAGAATGCCATACAACCTTAACCACATCACTCTCTCCTTGTCAACATCACTCGATTTCCATTCTCTAATAAGTGAAAACCATTGTATGCACCAACTTTCACCTTCTCTGATCAAGTCTCTAATCTCATCTTCTTCCACCTCCTCCAATGAGCACAGGTTGAATCCTATTTGTGTAACCTTCACCGAAAAATAACCCTCAATTTCAAAACAAATTTGAATATTATAAGTCATACCAGGGTTTAACACAACACCAACAAAAGCCTTGTTCAACTTCGCCCTTGCATCGCTTTCGGACTTGAAACTCGTATGGCACTTGGGATTCTCAAAGGCTGAATCGTTCGTTACACCAAATTTCCCTACCACCTATGCGAAAGACATAGAGCCCACATTTCTACTTCCCTCCCAAGCTCCCCAACGCTTCTTACTCGTGTTTGTCGACTGACCTCCCTTTGACTTCAACTGATCCCCACCAACATTAATCGTAGGACGACTCCTAATGAAACGGGAAACATTAACGTACCTTTTTACCATCTATCATCATGTTATCGAGTTTCACCGCGGAGACTCTTTCGTCTTTCACCTCTTTGAACCTAGCAAAATCAAACTTCTTATCCATCTTATTCTCTTTTGGTGGAATCACAACCTCCAACACCTCACCAATACAGCCGAATAACTCAAAAATGTCTACTGCTTTAATCTAATCAAGAATCTCTGAAAAGAAAAATGAGAATACTTGAATCTCATCCCCGACTTTGGCCTTGCCGTCGATAAAAAAAATCCCATTTAACACTCAATCTTCAAAAGTTTCTATGCGTTGCTTTTTTCTAGTCGATCTTCCGTATGTACAAGGAATAAGGAAAGAAAAAGATAGTCAGTCTTCCTTGTGTACAAGGAATAAGGAAAGAAAAAAATAGAAAAATTAAAGAAAAGAGGAATTTCCTCTCTCTAATATTTAAAAAATTTGAATTCTCTCTCTAAACCATTTAAAAATTTGTATAGCATATGCTAAAATTGATACCAAGATTCACACTTCTCCTCTTCTTCTTCTTAGATTGAGTAACATTTTACTTTTTTTTCTTTCAATATTTAAGTTTTTATTTTTGCTCTGTAAAAAATACAATAATTATTTACTGTCCTCCTTGATTTTTGTGTTTCATTTGTTGAATGAAGTTTTCGGATTTTTCAATCAGACAAAATTTAAAGTGCAGAAATGGTTCGGCATGCAAGTAAATGTAATAATATTCGGCTCACTGCAGAGAATAGACGATGTAGATTTGCCACATAAAAATTAGCTTTCTATAAGTTCCATCATTTTCATTAATAATGCAACTAAGACTTGAATCTTGAGACGTTCTGACTCAACCCAATCCAATTCATCCCAAAACTAACTGTATTATAAAATTAATTAAAATATAAAATATCTAACAAAATTTCAAAAATTCACTTTATCTTGTTCGGACAAATGCAGCAGAAACACTATGTCTATTCTCCGAAACGGCGTCGTTGAACCCAACTAACCTACATTTAACACCACCGAAAGAAGAAACAACACCTGGAACCGAATTTCCCTGAACCGGGTTCGTAGTTCTACGATACGGTCCAAACCACTTATTCTGCATGTACCGGTTCTTTCTCCAAGGAGGTATCGATAACCCTCTACTCCTTAAACACAGTTTCACAGCACCACACAATGCCAAAACGGTGCGTTTAAGCTCCTCTGATGTTCCAACGAAAATTCCAGGAACGTAACTCATAATCTCCATGTAACGACTCGTCGGCCGTGCGATTTCAAATTGTCCAGCGAAAACAAGCTCGATGAAGTACCTAGTCTGCCACGTGGACGATCCAGATTGCACCACGTCGATAAACTCGTGGCTGCCGGCGGTTAATCCGCCGGAGGATTCCCACCGCGTCTTACAAATCGCAGCATTGTGTCCCTTCTCACGCAAAAACGACATCACATTTCTATTAAAAACGGAAAAGCTTCGTTCCTTTAGAAATGCGAACTTAACTGCAGCTTCAGAAACATGCACGCGAAGCATGTTCATGTAAGAATCTGCATCAGCATTTTCACCTCTTAATCTTAACAGACTCTCCACCGAGTCCAAGCATTCCGAAACCGAGTCAACTCGCTCCGAGTCGAAATCGTTCTCTGCTGAGTCAGACGCGTTTTCATTATCCTCCTCGAGGAAATCATGCACAAGCTCAGACAGAGACGGTGAAGAAGTGAATTCTCCGTCACCGGAACCGGAATGCTCGCTTCCACTACTGACGCCACTCAGTTGCCGGAAATTAGCGCCGACGAGTCGAGCTTTGGCTTCATCGTCGAACGGATCGGTGACTCGTTTCTTTCTAGCAAAATTCATCTCTGCAAAACTGTAACTGATTCAAAGAGTTTAGTAGTGATTTTTTTTGTTTGGAGAGGAAAATGTGAGAGTTTGATTATATAGATGATAAAAATTAATAGAATATTCGAGGGAAATATCGAGTTTAAAACTTTTTTGGGATTTTGATTCAACTTTTTTGGGATTTAATAATTTGACTTAGAAAAAGTATTAAAGAAGCATATGCTATGTACTGTAGAATCAAAATGTGAGATTTATAATTACGTGTACCAATTATATAGATGCTTTGGCATATTCTTTTTTTTTTTTTTTTTGGTTTTGCCATGAGTATGTGACGCGTGCGAGTGTGATTTCCACACGTGTGTATGAGGGAAAGGTTAGCTCGCACGAGATTGGCACGTGGTAGAACACGATAATAGTTGGATAAGGAAGTGAAAGGTGGGGTCGTTTTGGAGGATAGAGGTTGCCGTTTAGTGGTCGTGGAAGGTGGTTTGTGGGTAAATGTTAGCATTGTGAATAATCATTTTGGGAGGGCCAGGTCAAAAGAAATTGCTTTACTTGTTGATGATTGATTATAAGTTTAATTAATGTTGGATAAGGATAAGTTTGATGATAGATTGATGAGTGTTTTAACAGGAATATCCAATATGGATCAGGATTGTTGAATGTTAATTTTATTTATTCATAAGTTTTGGATATTATGCTAGTAGGGTATAAACGCCAAGAGGTTCAATAAAATGTTAGGAGTTTACACAAATTTAAAAAGTTAGGTGAATTTGGCCAGCAATGGGTAATCCAAATGCAATTAATTCATGTTTTTTTTGGGTACAAGCCAATGAATTCATGTTGGTTGTCAACTTTACACTACATTTTGCAAGCTCAAACTTTTTAATATGTTTAGTTAAAAAAGCTTTTTAATATGCTACAATTTGAGCTTTTTTAATTTAAATAAGGTTAAATATACAATTACATTTTTTAATATAAGCGAATTTTAATTTACTCTTTTAATTTTTTTAAAGATATTTATTTTGAAAATTTAAAATACTAAGCATTTTATTTTTTAAACGCAAAAATTATCTTCTGTAAATTTATTTATTTTTATTTATCTCTTAAACTCAGTGTTAAAATTATATGCTTAAAAAATAATTAAAATAAATAAATTATAGAGAATATTTCAAAAAAAAAATTAAAAGAGAATAAAACAAAATTCATCTATATTATAAGAGGAATAATGCATTTAACCTTTTAAATAATATGTATTTTTATGTGCGAATAATTCTGTTATTTTTATTTGAGGTTACAATTGGTCCCATAGTGTAAATTATTGTGATTTGAATGCCAACAATGCACCCACTTTTTTTCTTTATGGATAGGATTAAGATGTTGACACCATGTGACCAACTGAATTGAATTAGACTTTCTGATTAATGAAAGTTTAAATTCTAACCGTAAAATATGTTTATATTTAATAAAGTATATGTAAGTTTCAGTTTGCTTGAGTGAATAGAGCATATGTGAACAACAAAAGATGTTGACATTATGTGTAATAGTAAAATAAAATAAAGATGTTGACATTATGTGTAATAGTAAAATAAAATAAAGATGTTGGCACTATGTGAACATGGTGGATTGTTATTTCAATTTGATGTTGCCATGCTATGTGCAGTGAATGGATTTCTTTTTTTCACACGATGCTACCGGAATTCTAATATTTTATAAAATAAGAAAACTAAAATAATAGATAAATAAATCAGAAGTTTTTTTTCAAACCAAAGACGAAAATATATTAAAACAAAATAAAGAGTTACAAGATCACAAAGAAACTAAACCAAAACCTCTTAAAAATGAAGTCTAAATTTATGAATATTGTAATACGGTGGAATGACTGACTTGATTATTTTGGCGTTTGATCGCAATTGTTGTGGATAGCAAGAGTCGCCATCAATTTTTCTTTTATCCAATAAGAAAATATTAAAAACAACAGGAAAGACCTTTCGAGATTATTTCTTGAGTTCGGGGGTAGGTTATGAAAAAGAAAGATATTAGCATAATTTTCATCTGTAGTTATCTACGGGCTCTTAGTTGCTTGCTATATCACTTGCTTTTGTTTGAAAATATGTTTGTGGTGTGGGTTTTGAAAGTATTTTGAAAACGTCTTTGTAATGGTTCTCATTTATATAAGAACGCGTACAAAGTGTTGTTTTAAAAATAGTTCATAGAGGTGTTTGTGGAATGTGTTTTTGAAAGTGATTTTGAAAAGTGTCTTTGTAATGGTTCTCGTCTCTATAAGAACGCGTACAAAAAACTTTATCTTTTGAAAATGTTTTAAAATGAAAGTGTGGGTATATAAAATATTTTTTTTGTGAGCAAGCGAGCAACTAGGAGCATCCTACCTACTCAAAAGGTCTTAATGTTCTTTTACTCCTCCTTTAGATGTTGCTATCTTACCATTGATTTGGTAAGAAGGCCCATCATTAGATGTGAAGGGACGTGCATGGGACGTTTGTATAATCATAGAAGACAACCTATGGTACGTTTTAGCAATATCGTTTAGGGACTAGATCATTTACCGAAGGCAACATTAAGAGTCATCGAGGGACTACGATCTTTTATCGAGGGTCTTTGCTAAAACGCCCATTTTCAAGGGACATGACTATTTTCCAAGGCAACAAAGTGAGATTATCCTAGGAGTGCATGTGTGAATGGTGTGTTTGATTGCATGCATTTAGTCTTTGATTACAGTGGTCTATTTGTTGGTTTCATCTTGCCATACATACCCTATCTTACTAGCAATTATATGAAAAACGGTAAACTTGCGGAAATTAAAAATCCTAAGCTATTACATCATTAGAGGGATGGGGATACAATTTGCAAATGGAGATGAAATAGGTGTCTAATTATTACAGCCATATCGGATAAGTGGACAGTAATGAAGAATATATATATATATATATATATATATATATATATATATATATATATATATATATATATATATATATATATATACACACACAATGCAAAAACAGTGTAAAAAGAAGGAAAAACTGCATTTTGAACTATTATGTATCGACACATGATGTTATGCATCGACACATAACTTTCCTTGTCCCTGCAAAACCTAATCAACTCAATATGAGTCGACGCATAATGGAATGTATCGACTCATTTCCTGCTTGTGTCGACACATACGCGTTTTGTGTCGACTCATGCACCTTCAATCTTTCTGTTTTGGGACCTGAATAGCAGTATGAGTCGATGCATAAGGTCATGTGTCGACTCATACCCTGTTTTTTCACTTAGAATGAGTCGACCCATGTGGATATGTGTCGACTCATGTTGTTGTTTTTTTTGCCTCTATCACCTTTCTTTTGCATGTATCAGTCAGTTTTTAACATATAAATGATAAAAATAAACAACAAGTAAATGATTAACTTCAAGAGTAGTGATTGCTACATCTTATCTTCAGAAATAAACCAAAAATAATGTATGGAAAATGCAAGGTTAAGATGACTTACCTTGAAACTGCACTTTAGGTTTTGAGTCTGAATACCCTTCAAGATGTTGTGTGGATCTTAACGAAACTCCAAGAGGCTACTAGACCTCCCTTTATGTTGAAGGTTGCTGAACCAATTCCAAACAGTCAAGTTTGTGTAGTATTGTCTTTTGTTTAGAAGTTGAGAATAAGGGCACTACAGAAACTGTTCTTGTGCTTGAACAATATCTATGTAATGTGAAGTGTTTAAAGGGTTTATGGGAGAGTTTGCAAGGTTGTACAATAATGGATTGAGGATTTTTCTGTTTTGTGAGTGAAAGCAGAGTTGAAGATGAGCAGAGTCTTATGAAAATGAGCTAAGTTTTACAAAAGTTCTGTTTTTCTCCTCTCTCTTTTTTTCTCTAAAAAAATCCCCTTATGTCTTATGAAACAATCTCTTTTGTAGCTCCTTGACTGATGTTTAGGAGGGAAACAAAATAAGTTATTTTGAACTGTTTTTTCCTACTGCTTTGATACTTTTTCCACACAATTTTCTTTTGCCATTTTGGTGCAACTTTGTGGCTTGTTATGATGCAGGTTGGAGCAGACTGCATATAGCAGTTTTGGACTGGTTTTTTGGACAGATTTTGGACTGTATAGGACAACATATGCAGGTTTTTGTGGCAGGTTTGTGGTGCAGCATAGCACAAGTTTTTTTGTAGGACAGCAATGGAGCAGGGTTTTGGAGTATTGTGGCAATGTATAGGAGTAGCATACCATACTTTGTTCAACAATAACTTGGACAACATAGTTTGCAGCATGAAATAAAGTTTGGTTTGTAGAGCAATTTATGCAAATTGTATCAAAGATAAAGCATTGTGGCAAGGTTTTGAGTCGAAGGAAAAAGTCCAAACCAATACAAAGTTTAGGATTTGTAAACTTGCAAAAAATGCCACTTTGTAATAACTTGAATTATTTGTAATATCTTGAACTATTTTGAATTGTAGTGACAAGATGTCATGAAGCAATGAACTTAACTTAGAAAAATTTTCAAGTCTTGCAAAAGTTAGATTTTTTACTTTCTTGATTTTTGATGATCAAATTTCATATTTTGGATGTCTTGATGAAATATGATTTTTAGGACTCAACTTTGGTCAAAAAGTCAAAGTTTGTCTTTTTAGTGTACAGTTGACTTTTCCCATCAGTTGATCGAATTTTGTCTATCAATCCACTGATCTCATGAGATGAATTGAAATGTGAAATTAGGTCAAAATGACGCGCTCGGATCCTTGAGATCATGCTTCCAACCAATAAGCCAGGTATTAGGTCAAAAATCAAAGTTCGACCATTTTCAGTCAAAAACCCCAATTTTGCTCATTTTGCCCTTTTGGTAATTTGAATGACTTTCTTGAGAAATTGTGATCCAAGACTTGGAACTTGACAAAAATAATCCCGAGGGTCCATAATGATCCACGAATTCATTTGAAATGTTAGAAATCCAGGTGCCTTTGCACAAGCTCAAACCCTAATTTGAGGCATCAGTGCT